GCTCCGGGGAGCGCGGCCCCGGCCCGGCCCCTCTCACCTGCGCTCCTCCGCTGTCCCGCGGCCTGCCTGCCGGGGAGCGGGCGTCGGCTTGGGCCGTTGCTTGCGTGTTGCTCCTTTTGCCGCTTTCCCCTCTCGTTCCAAGCGCTGTCCTCCCGAGGCCGCAGGGCACGTAACGCTTCCGCGCAGGAGCCGGGGTGGCACGCGTTCTGTCCGGCTGTCAGTGTTCTGTCAGCTGCCCTCCTGTTGGCTGGAGGATGAAAGATTTAGCTTGCAACACTTGAAACTAAAAGTATGTTCTGGTGGCTTCTGGTGCATGTATTTCAGTAGACCATAAGAAACTTTAGGAAAATATTTGGGTTTATATCTTTAATTGGCTTTCGTATTCATGGGATTAGGGATTGTATTTTAGTGGATTCATGAGGCAACCTCCTTTGGGTTGTTTAGTCCCACTGCCAAGACCAGAGGCAAGAACATCGCTGTGTTGGTAGACGTGCCCAGCGTAGGTCCAGCGTGCGGAGAGGGGGCTGAGCACCCTCAGAGCAGCCGGACGTAAATCGTACGTAACCCGAGTTTAGACAGTAAAGGTCATTGCTCTTCGTCTCGATAACTGACATTGAAATAGGAAGAGGAAAAAGCGTGGTTCTGTGTGTGATTGTATTAGTGAGTAAAAGCAGCGTACGCTACTGATTGAAAGTAATAGCTTTGCTTTGGAAAAGCCATGCATCATACCTGTGCTTCACGGCATAAGCCCATCTGACTGTTACAGGTCGCAGTTATTTCTTATGTGAATTAGTTTCTTATGTGAAATAATTTCTAATTAATGTAGAGTTCTTTCATGTTATTCTGAATTTTTTAGTATTAAAGTCAGAAACAGGCATGCTCAAGCAGAAGTTCTGGGTATAGCAGTTTCCATATTTTAATATTCTCATTCAAATCAGATGTGGCTACCTTGCACTTCCTTTCTGTCATGAGAAAAATCCCAAAAGTTTACCACAGTATATTTTAATTACAATGTCTTTCTTCTGATTTCTAGGTTTCAGATCAGAAGCCACTAGGTTGTTGGTCGGTTAAACACGGGCAGATTATCACATGTCCAGTGGTATGCAACTTTGAAACTCATGAGTATATAGCGGTTCATGATGACAAGGTGAGATCCTTTATCTTTTCTTAAAGGAAAAAAAGGATGTAGCGAGTCTTCCGAGTGCAGATAGGGAGGAAATTGGCAGTGCTAGATTTTCGGCTAAAGGTAAATGCATGGAGCTCTCGCCACCCTCTTGCCGTTCAGGTCACCCCTGCTCCTTGAGAGGGCAGGGACGGGCAGTTCTGCAGCTGCGCGGTGTGCTCTCAC